AACCTAAGTTCCGAAACGACTTTCGTACTGCACTACACCGACTACCCATCATCGGGCTGGAAGTAACAGAAATAGAACACATTACAGCTGATTCGAGTGTGTGTAAAAATCGCGAGTCACTTAAAAAACTAACGACGTAGGAGACCATTGAATCGCGGTGGAACCCGTTTTATCGATGACACTTGAATTCTTGGCCAGCTGCTGATGTGCAGCGTGCACCCATGTTCCCCTTGCAAACACTGCTAGGTTATCACAAGAATGCTGAGTTGTGGGCAAAAGTCGTGCCCCAGGCGGGAGTCGAACCCGCACCTCACGCTTTCCGGGCGAGTGCGCTATCCGTTACGCGTTTGACTTTTTTTTGGTCCCCCTGTATTTTAGCGATACCTTCACCATGTATGTCATTTTGCAGCTTTCTCGACTCACTGGATAGGATTTACGATAAGAATTTCGTACCCACAGAGCAAGACATACTACGAACACGAGTAGCGACAATGGGTGTGATTGAAGTTTGCTTCACAATGAAAAACAAGTTATGGAGGTTTGTTTTCGTTGCGTTCTCTGCTCTCTGCCCAATGTCCTGCAGAAGTGGGACTCCGGTAGTACTTCTAGCAACACCATGTTCCAAAGTCGTGTCGAAATATCGAGTGCTCTAGTACTGCGGGAACTAGGTTTGATTGCATAAACAACTATATCGCTTCTTAGCGATCTCTTTTCTCTGACATTAGCAATCGTCGCATTACAGAGGTGCCGATGTCTGGGGTTCGAAGACCAGGCTTTTCGCCTTGGAAGGGAGCCACGTTTTGTTCAAAGCATTTTCTTTAGAAATGAAATTTCCGAGCACAAATTTACGTGAATTCACGGGAATTTCCGTCGCAAACTTATGCTTTACTCCTCCAAGTTTGAATCGAACTTTACGTTAGTTTGTTGTAAATAAATTTTCCGGCGCTGTTTCACTTAGAGAGGGGACATTGCCCTAGTTCTCATTGGCATGTAGATCTGCAAACTTCTACAAGGGCAATTAGTTTTGTACAGGTCACCTTGTAAAACCCTCAGAATAAAGCTCATACCATTTCGCAACTCTACAAGCGTTCATGCATCTCTCAACCCCCCCCCCCAAGCCAGGCATTCCCGAACTTGTTTGGGACACCCTTGTTTTGAGGCTCTCCTTTGCACAGTCCAGAGTTATTCGAAAGTCCCAAGTATTTCAGGGTTTTCGATGTTGGCGGTCAACGGTCACAACGAAAGAAATGGATTCATTGTTTTGATGACGCAAAGGCCTTGATTTATGTGGCATCGCTGAGTGAATACGACCAGGTTCTGCTAGAAGACGAAACAACGGTAAGGTTGGCTTTGATTGTAAGATACTGTGGCAGAAATAATGTCCTTATATTAAAAGGACATGTCATCTGAAAATCCCAAATCTTAGTCGAGTTATTCAACTAGAGTTCACTCTGCTGGTTGCTGCGCGTCACCTCAACATGGATCTCCTGAAGTTTAATAAAGGTAGCAGCCTCTTATAGAGGGTTAACACTATATTTCGGTATCAAGTGGCATTACCATTCTGTACGAAAACCGAGCGCATGGCGCGTGTTCGAAAGAGATGAGTCCAAACCTTTTCTTGGCATACAAAGAATTTTGATGAGTTTGATAAGCTGAAGGATAAGGATGAAGTCTAGCCGCTGGTCAAACCCCGCATTGAGGTGCGGAACCATTCTGCTTCCATTCAGAATTATAAAGGCCTATTGAAAGCAATGTGACTTATGCAATGACTGGGGGGAAGGAGGGGGAGCAGCTATCGTACAAGCCAGTGTTCTTGTCCTCCCACACGAATCTGGTACCAATTTACGGTCTCGGAAGAGTAGGTGCTTGTATGGGAGCCGATCCGGGTTTCAATCCTCTGACCGCGCGCGTGGTGAGCGCGCCACTTTCCACTCCCTACATCACACTAAGAGACCCAATGAAAAAGTGTCACCAAGACGTTATAACGTAATACGTTTCCTATGACAAGTCCATAAAATAGCGCCACCACATGTGGTTCCCTCAACAGATGTTTTGTACAATTCATTTGTTTTCATTTCAGAATCGGATGCAAGAATCGCTTCAATTATTCCGTCAAGTAATCAACAACAAATACTTTGTGAATACCTCTGTTATACTCTTCCTTAACAAGAAAGATCTTTTCGAAAAGAAAATAGGACATGGGAAGTCGTTACGGATCGCATTTCCCAACTACAAAGGTCAGCTCTCGCAACCATACAGTGCGTAACAAAAGTATGTGGACACCTCAAATTTTTGTCCTGCAAAATTGCCTTTGAATTTTGCGATATGAGACCTTTATTGTTGAATTCCTCATAAGCGAAAACATAGGAATACACTACTTCTGAGCACTTTGTGAACTACTGTACAATTATTTGTTTTGAAAAAGTTTCTTAATAACAAAAGTATGTGGACACTTAACAAAAAAACAATGTAATCGTCTGAACAAGATTGAAGTCGTTTCCTCCATGTTCACTATTACTTCGAACATTTCTCTAGGCTGTTGTGGACAAGATCTGTCATGTGTCGTCGCATCGATTTCCTCCTATGCAGCGACTTACTTGCCTCTTCAAGTCTCGCAGCGCTTCATGACTGCCGCTGTTCATGTAGATTCGTCGAACCATGATTCCCCACAGGATTTCGGTTGGGTTGCAGTCAGGAGAACACGCCGGCCAATCAATCACTTTGATACCATTGCGTTGGAGCCATTTTCTAGTAGAATTTGAAACATGCACGGCCGTGTTCTCCTGCTGCATCACATGTGTCCTGCGTCGTGGCCCACTCAGAAAAGGCAAGAGGTTGGACTCGAGCACTCCTTGGTATTCCTGACTGTTCATGCGGCACGATGGGAATGCGAGCTCCAACCTTCCGCTGATTCCAAAACCACCCCGTACCATCAAAGAGGCGCCCCCGAAATTTCGTCTCGAGAACACCAACGGATCGCTACAAAGGTCTTCTCCAGTAATGCTGATATCCATCTGGACCGTCGAGATTGACTTTTTCTTATCAGTGAAGATAACCTAAGAAAGAAATGCGCATAAGATGTTGCCTTTCTGATTTTACAAATATCTCAAGAAACTGCACCTTGTCCCACGACGTCGCCATGTTTGCACGCGCAAAGTTCAGTCACCCCAACTGGTGTTGGGCAGTCAGACGAGAAGCTTTCTTCATGGTCTCGAGTGATGTGTTGATCGAATAGAGCGCCATATTGTCATTTTTGAGACCGGTAGATTCATCGCGGCATGGATCTGTGCCACAGAAAGCGGGAGTTTGAGGCTATTCTTCTGATGTCTTTTGCGGACAAAGATCGTGGGTGCCTCGAAACAGGTACTGAGTGGTAGCCATCAGGATTCTGGAGGTATATACCAACGCACGTCGCCGAAAGTCCAAGCTGTCTTGCAATTTCTCTATTCGAGTGTCCTGCAGCACTGAAAGCTCGAATCCGAGCTTGTTCGTCTTCGTAGGAGAGGACTACCACGACGAGGCATGAGTACAGGTTAATGGGGACTAGAGACCATAAAAATGGATTGCAGATCTGGAGCCAAACTTTGGACTTCCTCAGGTGTCCACATACTTTTGTTATTAAGAAACTTTTTCAAAACAATAAATAATTGTACAGTAGTCACAAGTGTTCAGAAGTAGTGTATTCCTATGTTTTCGCTTATGAGGAATTCAACAATAAAGGTCTCATATCGCAAAATTCAAAGGCAATTTTGCAGGACAAAAATTTGAGGTGTCCACATACTTTTGTTACGCACTGTATGTTATAACTGTTTAAGTGATCATAGAGTTTCCCTCATTTAGCGTGCTCCTCTTCCTGACACTCTCTGGAAGATGTGCGCGCCCTTGAACGGGAGCTTTCATTACAGTCCCCGCCCACGCGATAAGCATAGACCATGCCTTTGAGAACGGTATTTTTCCAACCGCGTCTATATTGGAGATTCGAAATATGCGTTTTCAGGAGGAGAAAACTACGATGAAGCTTCGAAATACATTGAGGCACAATTCATGGCCGCTAACGAAAATCGTGAAAAGTCTATCTACACCCACCTCACCTGCGCCACCGACACTCAACAAGTGCAATTCGTTCTTGATAGCGTCTTGGACACGATACTGTCGTCGAAACGTAAAGGATGTGGGCTTCTATAAGTAACGATCCTGTCTGTGGAACGCTGGGATGTTCCTCTTCTACGGGGTCAAATCAAGGCCTTTAAGGCGAGGAACTAAGATCGATTTGTCACTTATCTTCACTACCGCGAAACCTTAACAGACTTAGGGATGTCGTTCAGTGACGTAAATTTCAAGCGGGCCTCCTTATGCAGTGCATCGGGTGTAACGAGTAGCAAT